AGAATGAACGTCATCTGCAGCTTCTGCTCTCGCACATTGTTCTCGTGGCAGATAGTTAAGACCTTCCCATCTGGTCCGTCTTGTAACTTTGTAGCTAATCTACCGGTTATGAAGTACAAGTCCGGCCGCGACAGCCTTGCTAACCAAAGCATCTTCATCAAGGTGCGTGCCGCAACACTGCCGAGTTCGCTCTCGACGGCAAGATCATCGTCAGCGATGCTGGCTTCCGAGCTCGCCCTCGACGGCTAGGTCATCGTCAGTGATGCTGGCTTCAGATACACAATTCGTTGGCACTTTGCGCAATGTCTTACGGTCTAAACCGGACAACTCCAAGTACAGCTCTACAACTTGGTCAGCATAGGCACGCATGTCAAGTGTAACGGTTGTTTGACTTGGGCTGCGATGGATTGTGTGATGCCTGCCAAGGACCCTAGAGCCATATTCAATTTGGTTTCGGCATCAAGTTTTATGCGCTTACGAAGACTATCCAAAAAAACCTTACGTAAGTCGGCTCGGCCTGCTAAGCTTAAGTCGTCTACGTAAATGTTCAAAATCATGATCTCACCTTTTGTCCGAAAAATCCAATTGGATGGATGGCCAGGGATTTCTTCTCCACCAAGGGACCGTAGCTTTTGTACCAGATGTTCCTGCCAGAGCTCACCCGCTAACGGGTGCCCGCAAAGGCTGCGAAGCATCTTCACGGCCACTTTGGCTGTTGCATCAAACCTGGCCTTGATCTCTTCCGTCCATAGCTCGGGCGGCAAGACCACCCACCTGTCTTCCTCTAACGAGGCTTGAAGGCAGGCCTGCGCAGCGTCGCTGCGTTAATGTGGACCCCACTCATACAGCCATGCCAAATCGTACGGTTTAACGATGTACGGGCTGTCGGTGACATTTACATATCGTCGAAGAGCACAATGCTGGGCGACGCGTCAGCCACATAATCCCCACAGCAAGCTATGCGGCCTTTCCATTTTTGCTGCTGCGGTTCTAAGTTACGCCCCACACAAAGTAGGCAACTTTGCCACCTTAATCCTTCGGTTTTGGGCTTTGGCATGACTCCGAAGGTTATTTTAAAAGGATAGCGGACGAATCATCCCAAGTATTGTTGGTGATGGCCCAGTCGTGAAGTATCCCTAGCGTCGTCGGATACCCCTCTGCCGTGGGCATGCGCAATCGAAAGATATGGATGTTGGGAAGTTCGCGATATGGAATGGTCTACCTGGTGGCTTGGCCCTGGCCTACACAGGGAGCGAACACGGTGCAATGGCAGGTCACTTGCAAGACCTGCTTGCAGCGATTCCAAACTTTACACCAGGCGCGGTGGAGTTACTATGTGAAGCGCTATGGCTCCGGAAGAGGCTCTAGTCTCACCTAGCCACAGACACGCATGAACAGCGATCAATGAGCTGAGGCTGTTAACCAGAAGAACACAACAAACACGAGACAACAAGCAATGCAATCACGCATCTTGAGCCAAATGGTCGGTTGATTGTCTTTGACTTGTCCTAGGCCATTGTATAAAACAAAAAACGAGCATGTGTGCGCACAAGACTAATGGAACATGCATGCATCCAAAAGGAACCGAATAACCTCGGCCTAACATGTACAGAGACAACAGCAAGTACATACGTATGTCTATGCGTGCATGCGTTTTTCACAAGTCCTGCGCTTATCTGCATAGAGAGGCAGAGAAACGGAGAAATGGATGGGTGGATGAATATCTGATTAAAGATTCGCAAACTAGTTCATATGAACTCTCTGAGGTGGCCTGCAGAAACACTGCCAAGGCGCAAAAGATGAGCCATGAACTCGGAGTAAAGCATCTTCCTGTCAAGGCGCGAACCAGTAGTAGTAGTAGTAGTAGTAGTAGCAGTAGTAGTAGTAGTAGTAGTAGTTGTTGTAGTTGTAGTTGTAGTTGTTGTTGTTGTAGTAGTTGTTGTTGTTGTTGGTGGTGGTGGTGGTAGCAGGAGAAGCAGTAGCAGTGGCAGCCGCAGTGGCAGTAGCAGTGGCAGAGCCAGTAGCAGCAGTAGTCGTCGTCGTGGTAGTAGTGGTGACTTAGTAGAGGTAGCAGTAGTAGTGGTGGTATTGGTAGAGGTAGAGACATAGGTAGGGGAAGAGACAAATAGAGCACTTACAGGTAGAGGGAGAGATGAGGTGGTAGTAGTAGTCGTAGTACTAGTAGCAGCTCACAGCGCTGCCAGGCGCCTGGTAGTTTCGTGCTTCTGCAAGGTTTGGGTGCGGGAAAGGGGCAGGACGGACGCGGGGTGAGGCATGACTACACACGTTGTTCCTGCATCCGGTGTATTGCTTCCACGCTTGTTTGTTCCTCAAAAGCACCACGCTTGCTAATTCCGACTGAGAGAATTCGCATCTTCGGGGAGTCCAAAACCTACTTTGCTTTTGCGGCAGGAAGGTCCTGAAACAGGAACAAACAGGACACATACACAACATATTTTTGGAGATCACGAAAACGGCGTTCTTAGACGAAGTAGTCGAAGACTCTGCAAACATGGTGTTTTGAGAAACCGTTAACTATACAAACCGGGCGCCCTACCATGCCGTGACCTACTAGTAGTAGTAGTAGTAGTAGTAGTAGTAGTAGCAGTAGTAGTAGTAGTAGTAGCAGCAGCACCAGCAGCAGGAGTAGTAGTCGTAGTAGTAGTGGTAGTGGTAGTGGTAGTGGTAGTGGTAGTGGTAGTGGCAGTAGTAGTAGTAGTAGTAGTAGTAGTAGTAGTAGGAATAGCAGCAGTAGCCGTAATAGTAGCAGTAGCAGTAGCAGTAGTCGTCGTCGTCGTGGTGGTAGTGGTAGTAGTAGAAGCAGCAGCAGCAGCAGCAGCGCGGCAGCGCTGTACTGATCGAGTAATGTGATCGTTATCGTGGTGACAATAGTGCTGATGGTGTAGACGTGGTGGTAGCGAAAGTAGAAGCGGAGGATTGGAAGGTGTGACAAGCAGGAGCATTTGTTGTAGCAACATTCGTGTCTTCATCATCACAAGCATCTGTTCTGGTCAGTACCAATGGAATGAGCCACGCAAGCTGAGTGTGCAACTCCAAATCTGTAAGGCGCGAATTCAGAAAAATGGTCCGTGACTTGCTTGCAAGTAATGAGTGGAAAGCGTGCCATCTTGCTTGCACAGGCACATGCTGGAATCCTCCATGTGCATTCGTAGTCGGCGGTTGTCCGCTCTTCATCGCCACAGTTTCCAGACAGAGCTGTTCTGCTCAACTCAGGAATGCTGCAGGCCTTGTGGGCCATCAGAGAAGTGAGTCCTCACGGAAGTGCCAAGCGTCTATGAACTTCCTCTACATGTGCACACCCCCCAGCCTCCACTGCCAGGAGCGTGACATCCAGCGCTACAAGAAGGCACTCGCAACCATGTTGACATCATCATGGCTCATGACGAACCCAACGAGCGAGTCACGAGGCACTTCACGTGAAGTGAGGCATGTGGTTAGTTATCACAAAGCCACTAAGCAAAGTGCAGCATGCCATTTGTTGTTGAGCTAACTAACAGCATCAGAATGTACTGCATCCGCATGTGCTAAGGACCGAGTATGTAGGAACATGCGGTACGCGTGGCGCCAGGCGTTTCATGCGGCTGCGGGGGAAAGCAGCAAGGCACACAGTGAAATGAATGGACAAGTTGTGCACTGAGTTCCTCTTCACAGCTTAAGTCGTGATCCCTTATGCAAGCCCTACGCATGCACAGTGGCCGCCTGCCCTTCTGACCGGCGTGCAGGTAGCATTCCTGGACGAGCGCCGGGGAGTTGAGGCCATCGGAGGAAGCCGCCAAAAGTGTGCTTGTTACAGATGCTTAAACTCAAAAGCCTGGGCTATAAGTAATGCTGTCACCAAAGCACAGCACCAGCAGAGCAACGCCGGCAGGGTTCCTACATGCAAGCGAGCTGCATGTCGCCCTTTTCTGCTTCATGCAGGCAGTGCGCGAGCTGGGTTTCCGCGTGAAGAAGCAGGCGCAATCAGAATCCATCAATCGACCAGCCGCATGACTTCCTCAATCTCCGGGACTTGTGAGATCCTCATCTTTATGCGCTTCGCCCTGTTGCTGTTGCGCAGTACGTGGCCTTGGCCGCCAGAGTGACCGCCAAGACCTACCACATGGCGGGAAGGGTTTTCAGCCAACTTGTGTTTGCTTCACCATGTCCAGGTGTCAATACACTACCTACATGCATACAGCTAGATAGTTATGTACATACACGCAGGGAAGCATACCTACATACAAAAGAACTGCATATGTACGTACATGCGTCCTCATTGGTTTACATGAGCTTCCTCTTGTGCCAGTGCTGGAGACGCACGCCGCCGGCAGCGACTGTAGAAACACTACACAACAGCTGCGCGACACGCCCTTCTGAAGCAGAGTCTCTGCGGCTTCGCTGTGAGAACGTGTTTTGGAACCGAGCCGGGAACGAGAAGGCGAGAGGTCTGCGGGGGGTGCGAGTTTGTTCATGCAGGCAGATCCCTTCCTGGACGAGGCAAGCTTCGTCCGCGCTGTCGGCATGTTTGAGGTTGTCCAGAGCTGATTTTTTTCGGGTTTCTTCCATTGCATGCAAGACTACTCTCTGGCCGTGTGGAGGCTTCAAGCTGTAATGCAGATTTCGAGCTGTAGATGCAGACTCTTATTTGTGCCAGGCGTGTGCTGCCGGCATGCCAGAGACTTGCGACAAGCGATTCGGCAGCAACTGCCGATTGAGTTCACAGATTTGGAAGCGGCACTGCACCGCACAAGTTACCGTACGGGCTGTGCTAGGGTCACCGTCCAGCGATAATATTTTCACACCAGCTCGTAACGAGTGGCTGCAGCAAGCAGTGCATCATGTCAGTGTAGAGATCTCGCAGAGATTAAGTCGCAGACTCGCTTTGTAGTTTTCGTGCCTCTCAAGTCGACAGTACAGTAGCTTGATGACCAGTCGGCCATTCTGGCCGATACTTGATACCCACGGTCCCAGCGTAACAACGCAAGCACAACGGCCCCGAGGTGTATAAGTCGAACGGCGGCTGGACCGAGGGTGAGGCGCCAGGGTACAGTGCGAGACAGCGCGAGTGCGTTTTCGGATAATTCGGACGGCAGAGTTGGAGACGGAGCGAGGCAAGTTGCGGCAACCTTCGCTATGCTAGCGGATAATGATGAGGGAGACAGGTGGCCGACAGCAGAACTGTCAATGTGACCACACACAGTTTCTTCGCATTCCACTTGCCATATATGTGCAATGGATGTGGAGGTTTGCCGCAAAGCACTATTACCCTCTCTCTCTCTCTCTCTCTCTCTCTCTCTCAGAACTTGCCTGCCGGTTTCCACACTGGACACGGTACATGAAGGTGACTCAGCTGGAGAAAGTCTTCAACAAGTACGACGTGAAGAGGAAGGGCTTTCTTTCGAGCAAAGAGCCCTAGGCTCGGAGTGGAAAAAGCTTCATCAAGGTCTTCCTGGATACAGTTGAGGCTCATGCCGTTGAGGGATTCGATAAAGAACAACACTGCAAGGTCTAAGACTTTACGATACAGCACCACAATAGATAAGCTGATAGAATGACGGACCAGACTGATTCAATGGCGGGAAACAAGGACGGCCAAAGCCTAAGTTTTGAAGGTCTGAAAGAAACTGTAGCATCGAATCGAGATTGCTGGTCGAAGTTTGTGTGCTTCCTATGAGGAAGCGGAGTACACTGAATTATGAAATTGCCAGTAAGGGGCAGCATCACAGCGTCTCAGAAGCAGACGTCTTGCAAGGTTAGTCCGGATGGTGGAGGACATGTTTCCGGTTCTCGCGCGGGACAGGAGCTGCATGAAGTGCTTCTTCTCGTCCGGGCGTGCATGATTGAACATCTTGACCATCGAAGGAGGCTTCGACCCGATCTGCAGCGAATCATGAAAGAGGCACGTTTTTTGGCGCGTGATTTGCACAATTTTGAACAGCTTTTCGCCACTCGTCTCTGGAACTTCGGCGTCGGAGGCGCTCAGTGGTTGCACACGTGCGGAAGGTGGGAGCGGCCGACTTTGCTGTTTTGGGGCCGTGGGAGGGTTGAGAGGAACGGGCCTATGCCCCACGTGCATACTGAGACCAGACTTCATGGTGGTTGCATGAAGCAGTTTTGCACCTGCAGTGGTTGTAGAATGTTGTAGACAGCCGTAGCTTGAAGCGGAATTCAGTCACCACAACGGAAAGTTGCTTAGGGTCACGCCTGGACTCCCGGAAAAAACGGCTGGTGGCTAGCGCCAGGAAAGTTTGGACATGTTAGGACATGCTGGCTTTTTCACTGCAGTTCCAGCTCCTCGCGATCCCTCCGATTCCTTGCTGATCCTGCGCCGGTTCCGTGGCAAGGTGTGGGAATGCAGGATTTCCTGAAGCTGATGCAGTTCTTCCGAGAGTTTCAGGACATCCCCCTAAACCCTAAACCCTAAAACCCTAGAGCCCTAAACCCTAAAACCTGTGTTGACAAAGCAAAGCGGGCGCGTATGGCTCCGGCGCGATGAGCAGCCACATGATCCGCCGGTTACGGGCTTCGTGCAAGGACGGACAGCGCTTGCACAAGGAGCAGCAAGCAGTCCAGGTGGTTGTCCCAGCACTGTACAGTAAATTAGCGAGAGAGAGTCCCGGTTGCCGCGTTTTTCGGAAGGCGAGTGGCTGGGAACATACCGAGGTAGCTCAGCCGGCAGCTCGGTACGGCCTTCCGCGCAAAGTCGTTGCATCTTCCAGTCTTATCCGCATCATTCCGCCTCTCCACATGAGTAAGAGTAGGAAGATCAACAACGTAACCTTGCAAAGAAGTACGTGTTTCAGGCTCGTTTCAGGTGTCAAGGGTTTGGAGTTGGAAAGGTTCTAGATGCCAAAATGCTAGGAGCTAGTTCATTACGTCGGGCTGATTCAGGTTGCGTGACCTCTTCATCGCGGCATCCAACGCTTCGCACGAAAGCTCGCTTCCCGCAGAGCTTTCCTTCGAACAGGCCAGTAGCATTTGCAACCTCCTCATGCATGGGTGGCTTTTCAGATGTTCCTTGCTTTCGTGCAGTTCCGGACCATGATCCACGACCTCTACCCGCTTGGGGATGCGCTGACGGCAGAGTTGAAATACATCTTTGCGAAGGCGGCAGATTCCTGCAGCTGCTAGGTGCTAGGGGTCCGATTGTTTGATGGCAGAGCAAGGGCGGCCCTGGATTTGACCACTCCAATCTTGAGGGCTAGGTGTGTCCAGAAACAGATTGTGCTGAGAACTTGGGACGGGCAGAGAACTGGTTCATCGCAGGGCCAACCGGAGCCGTGACCAATTCAATGAAAAGCGGCACTAGCGGTGGTACCAAGCACTCAGCTCCTCGCAGTTCACTCGACGGATCGTTGGCGAAGTGAGGAGCAAGCAGAGCTTCGAGGCCTTGCAGTGATCGTTTTGTCCAAGTTTCGTCTGTCCCACGGTTCGTGGCTGAGGATGCGGACTTCCCGGAGTTCCTGCTGATGATGAGGTACTTGTGGGACACCGACTGGCCCAGCAGTCCGGGAACATCAAGGATTGGCATCAAGGCCTGAAGATGTCATGGAAGTTCCCCCCCCCCCCCCCCCCCGCCTGCTCGGACCAGCAAGTTTCGCCAGGCGAAGTTTCAAGACAAGACCGAGACGGAGAAGCCAGTCAAAGCACCGGTCAAGGCAGCATCTACTGTTGGAGGTGCGGGGCCTCCCAATGGGCCCAAGGCTCAGGGGCCTTCTTA